GAAAACAGTTAAAGCCAGCGAATTTAAGATAATTCTATAAGATAACCAGTTGCTCGAACTTGCCATTATCATTAAAAAAACTCATTTTGCCATTTTACACCACGCTCCAATTTTGCCCGCTTAGTTTTCTCTCTCCGAGATCGTAATCTCATCTTCAAACATCGCCTGGCAAAACGCCAACTTGGGAACTAAGTGAGTAGGTTCCTTTGATTTTACGAGGGTAGTTGCATTTGTTGTCGCCGTATAATTTCATAAACGTGAAATGAGCATGGCAAAACAAATGTGCGTGACAAAATATTTGACAGGAAAGCAAATTTGGGAGCCAGTTGAGCTAGGTGTCTGAAATTTCCTGAAGTTATTAGAATGTATGCCGTCCCAACAATATTACTACGGTGAAAAAGTGGGTAAAATCGTATGATCTGAAATGCCTGGTGCGCGCAGCAGTTGATTTTTTCCTCTCAGTTTCTTAGTTTTCCACATCAAAATTCTCCCATTCAATTCTTTTTATTTATTCTTTATAGGCATCATTTTTTTGTGGTGGAAAAAAAGTACATTTTCCCACCAATATTTATTTGCAAGCAAACAAACACTTGTTTTGACAATCCTGGGAGTACGCATATATTTTTGATGCATTTCTGGGAAGGTTGACCAGTTTTTCCATCCACGGGACACAATAGGAATCATAGACCGATAATAACGCAGCAATGATTTTTTTTTATAAATTTCATCATCTAAGCAATGTAATGTGTAGCGGGTATTGACCTCCGTACTATTACGTAATGAGAACAGTGGCTGTGTTTCAAAGTTGAGTCCAACTAGACAAATCCTGCTAACAAGATTTTAAAGACCGCTCAAAAGTCGGTACGGGGATTCTAGGAAACTGATGCTGCTGAGATGCATCCATACCACGGATGCTTCTATAACTAACTCGCTATCTCAAATCTTAAGAGTAAAAATAAAATATCAAGGCCTTCCACAGTCAACGATGTGAGAATCCATTTTAGTGATGTCGAAGGATGCTCCCAACCTGAGCAGGTTCTCCGATTCTTGACTTTATACCTCCAGTAAGTGTCCGCCGTGTGGTTACTGCACCACTAGTTTAAGAGTCGCCGAATGGTCATTTCATTACGAGACAAAAAAATCAACATTATTCATTTCGCGCAATATTTAGCGGCTGTGAGCAAGGCAGGCCCATCGATTGTGTTTTATTTGCACGTGCAGCTGCAGCGAAGTCGTGAGCGCCGCTCACTTGACAGAAATTCTGATTGTTTATATGGTTGCGCAGTGAGACATCAAACATTCTTCGTCGCTTTTCAACTTTCACAAGTGGTAAAATTCTTTCTTTGATACCCTTCTCCTGACTAGGTGTTGTTTCGAATTCCTGAGTCCCACTGATGCAACACTATCAAATCATCGGGGCGGTAAGACATTGTTCTTTGCCGTCTTAGCATGGTTCTTTGCAGCGACTGTTAAAAGTAGGAAATGCAATAGATTGTACAGGAATTCCTCAGAGATTTTACACATTTACTGTGATCAATTTTTCAAGGTTAGCACCTTTGAATTGTCATAAAAAGCAGAAATTGAATATCGAGCTACTGATGCCGGGAATCATTGCTGTTATTAGTTTCAATTACTTTTGCTAAATTATACCTCCAAACACAGCGCGTAGAACTGATTTTGTTGGGGTGTAAAACAAAAAGCCAAGAATTGCGCGGAACCACAAATAGCATAAAATGACGTTGGACTCACTGCGACATTCGGAATCTCCTAGGTACATTCCAGTTGAGCACCCCAACTGGGCCTCTTCATTACGCCAATTCTGGGTTAAACATTTAAGAGAAGTTAAAATATAAATGCTTACAAAGAGGACGTATTTATGCGAAGGACATTTTTAAATCAATTTATTCAGCAAGTATCAGTAGTCAGCAAGTGTCAGTAGGCTTTCGCTTTCAAGTTAGAGCAGTTTCAGTTCCCTGTTTTCCTCCTGCATCTGGTGCTGCTGCTCCAGCTGCGACCGCCTTGGTTGACAGCAGGTTCACTCCTGAAATTGGTCTGAATGGAACAGTATGAGAAAACAGATGGCTGCTCAACCGAAGATTCCTTAGAGCTGATACTGAAGGGTGATTTCCAAAACTTGTTACTTGTACATATTTCGTCCTCGAAACGGGATGTTTTCCCAGTCTCTGGATTATTTGTTCGAGCGTGTAACTCACGAAGAGCTTACTATAATTATAGCAGTTGGATTTTGGCAAAATAATTGATGTTTCACGTTTGAGATTGCTGAGAGAGCCAGTTTAGAGATTGATGCTTGTGGCTGACGTTACTGGGATGTAACTTTGGGCATGCTAAAA